TGCATCCATAGCTGCCTGCCACTGAGAGGAGTAGGGACCCTCTACGGCCTCCGCGTAAGAGCGCGGAGTTGGGATGTCTAGTGCATCCGGGTCTCCCTCAGGAGCAAGCAGTACAGACGCGAGATGAGGTGAAGCGGCCGCTAGACACTGTAACTCCTCCTGCCTGTCCTCTAGGACATCCGTGCCAAGAGCACACTCACCCCCGACGGACGGAGGACAGACAGACGCAGACTCAGTAATAAGACTAGCAGCATAGTCTAGACGACAGCGAGCAGCAAAGTCGACGAGCTCAGCGACAAGAGCAGACGCAGCAGTGGACTCAAAAGAGGGGTCAGTGACGACAGTAGCAAGCAGACGCGTGACAGTGGGACTGGCAGCACGAAGGGAGTCCGACTCAGGGTCGGCAAGCGCAGGAAGAGAGGACTCAGGAGGAGAAGGCAAAGGGGCACGCAGAGGAGCAGTGGACGGACGCAGAGACATCCGGTGCGTGCCAGGGACAGGAGGAGGACGCTGACGCGAACTGCGACCACTAGCACGAGCAGCACGAACAGGCGACGCGGGATGGGACGCAGGCTCACGACGCTCAGCAAGACCTCCAGTAGGACCAGTGTAAGGAGAGGGAGCAGGCAGTGGAGAGGACGGCTCCAACAGGGACTGCGACTGGACTGGCTGTGGACCCTCTACTGAAGGAGAAAGACCAAGAACCTGCTGCAGGAGCGGAACGAAGTACGGCCGAGGCCGCGCGGCAGCTCCAGACTCAGCAGGGACAGCACCAGCACCCTCAGCGACAGCACCAGCGCCACCCACACCTCCAGCTCCAACACCCTCAGCAGCTCCAGCTCCAGGAGGACCCGCAGGTCCAGCAGCTCCGGGACCGGCAGCACCCGCACCCTCGACGGTCGAAGAAGCTCCAGCTCCAGCTCCAGCAGCACCCCCAGACTCAGCAGCACACCTCCAGCGGCGAGCGAACCACTCGCGCAGCTCCTGTGGAGAGAGGGGCTCCCGGCGAGACGCAGCAGCAGGAGAACCCCAGGCTCAGCAGCTCCAGACGCAGCACCCCCAGGCTCAGCAGCTCCCAGCTCAGCACCCCCAGGCTCAGCTTCACTCGACCCAGCACCCCCAGACCCAGCACCTCCAGGCACAGCACCCCCCGGCTCAGCACCCCCAGGCTCCGCACCCTCCACAGTAGCGCCCACAGGCCCAGCACCCTCGCGCACAGCACCCCGAGAGTCAGCACCCCCAGGCTCAGCACCCGCAGCAGCACCAGAATCACAGTAACCTCGACCGGGTCAACTGCGTCTACCTGGGACACACCTGAGGGGGCAGGAACCTGAGGGGGGAGGGGGTCTACCGGGGGAGGAACCGGGACAAGGAAGTCCGGTGGAGGGGGGAGGGAAGGAGTGCGGTAGGGGAAGAGGCGGTAGAAGGGGACTGACTCGTCGAACGTGACGTCCTGGGAGGACAGAACACGACGAGAGGAGGGGTGGTAAAACTGCCACCCTGGAGCGTCAGTGGGGAAGCCAAGGAAGACACAGGGAGCAGCACGAAGGGACAGCTTGTCCGCTGACAAGTCGCGGACAAACGCCCGAGATCCCCAGACACGGAACGCCGACGCATCGCCAACCTTCCCCGTCCACAGTAAGACCGGGGACATCGCGGGCCGAGAGACCCTGGGGTGAAGGTTGAGCTGATGCGCCGCGTACCTCACCGCAAACGGCCACAGAAAATGGGGGGCAGCCGCATGCATCATGGACGTACGAGCGACATCCATGACCATGCCAATGCGGCGCTCAGCAATCCCATTTTGCTGTGGAGAGTCCGGAAGCGTGAAGGTCTGGCGGATCCCCCGTGCACGACAATAGTCTCGCAGAAGGCGAGAGGAGAACTCTCCGCCTCTGTCCGAGTGCAGACGCAGAACAGGGAAGTCCGAGCCAAAGCTCTGCCTGAGCTGGAGACGAGCCGCGCTGATCCAGTCGATCAGCACCTGAGTGACAGCACCCTTGCTGCGCAAGGGGAGGACTGTGGTGTACCGCGAGTAGTCGTCAACCACCAACAGGAAGTAGCGCTCGTGACCCTGCCCACGGACGGGGGCTGGGCCCCACACATCCATGTGAAGCGTCTGCAGAGGAGCCTCTGTCGGGGGGAACTGGGAGGAGTGAGGAGTAGCCCGGAGGCGACCCTCGACACAGGGGACACAAGAAGGTCCTGGCCCGGAGGGAAGGGGAGGAAGAGACTGGGGCAGACCAGAGACAAGGACACGGGAAGCCATGCTCCGAAGACGGGGCAAGGACGGGTGGCGAAGACGGTGGTGCCACAGGAGAGTCTCGTGAGACAGGAGGCGACAAGAACAGGGGGCAGACTCAGGACCTGACCGGGACGCAGCAGCAAGCACCTGACCTGACGCAGCTACCTGACCAGACGCAGGGACAGGAGGAGACGCAGTGGTCAGGGTGTAGAGGCTCGACCCCGGCCGACGTGAGAACGTGGCCAGGTGCCGGCCTGTGCGTGCGTCCGTGCAGTGGGTCACCCGCAGACTCGCAGGAGTGAACTGGTGAACCCCCGCATCCTGCAGGTCCGCACCACTCACCAAGTTCGTAGAGAACGATGGAAGGTACAGTCCTGATAGGGTGCCCGAAGGGGCAGCCGGACACGGGAGGACAGTGGAGAAGTGAGAGAGGACAGGACCCCCAGAGGGGTCAACCAGGGAGACGGCAACCGGCCGACCAAGCGGCGTGAGAGTGGTGCGGTCTCGAAAGAAGGAGCGAGAAGCCCCGGAGTCAAGTGTGAAAGTGAGGGAGGACGAGGACGAGAGCCGGCGGCGGGGCCGTAAGAGAGCCGGCGGCGTGGCCTTGTGAGTGCCGGCGGCGGGGCCGCGTGAGAGCCGGGACGGGGCCGCAAGAGCGCCGGGGCGGGGCCGCGTCAGAGCCGGCGGTGGGGCCTGGTGAGAGCCGGGGCGGGGCCGCGAGAGAGACGGGGCGGGGCCGCTAGAGAGCCGGTGCGGGGCCGCGTCAGGGCCGGCGGCGAGGCCGCGAGAGAGCCGGGGCGGGGCCGCGATCAGGAGGCGGCGGCGGGGCCGCGTCAAAGCCGGCGGCGGGCCGCGATCAGCAGGCGGCGGGGCCGCGTCAGAGCCGGCGGCGGGGCCGCTTCAGTGGAGGCGGCGGGGCCGCGTCAGAGGAGGCGGCGGGGCCGCGTAAGAGGAGGCGGCGGGGCCGCGTCAAGCAGGCGGCGGGGCCGCGATCAGGAGGGGTGGCGGGGCCGCGTCTGAGGGAAAGCGGGGCCGCGAGAGCAATGGCGACCCGAAGGGTTGCGAAAAAAAAAAATGCGCGCCTCGGGGCGCGCTTCGGTGGGCCCTAATAAAAACGGTTCTTAGGAAGGACCCGCTATATACCATGTGAGAATAAGCGAACAGGGAATGAATGAACTAGCAGTGAAATAAGTACAAATAGTAAACCCTAGAATTGTGTACCCCCTATAGGCTAACCCACTGTAGCCTACACAAGCATAACATATATAATGTTTGACAGACGTGGACGTGGACATGGACGTGGACGTGGACATGGTCGTGGACATGGACGTGGACGTGGACCTGGACGTGGACGTGGCGATGGACGTGGACGTGGACGTGAACGTGGACGTGGACGTGGACAAGGACGTGGACATAGACGTGGACGTGGACGTGGACGTGGACATTGACGTGGAGGTGGACGTGACGTGGACGTGGACGTGGACGTGGACGTGGACGTGGACGTGACGGGGACCTGACGTGGACGTGGACGTGGACATGACGTGGACGTGGACATGGACGTGGACGTGGACGTGGACATGGACGTGGACGTGGACGGGACGTGCACGTGGACGTGGACATGGACGTGGACGTGACATGGACGTGGACGTGGACGTGGACGTGGACGTGGACGCGGACGCGGACGTGGACGTGGACGTGGACGCGGACGTGGACGTGGACGCGGACGTGGACGCGGACGTGGACGCGGACATGGACGTGGACGTGGACATGGACGTGGATGTGGACGTAAGGGTTTGAAAGGTAACTAACGCACATGTGTAGAGAAAATGGTGCATCGGCCAGTCTGGCCGGCATTTCGCACTTATAGTGCAAGTAGAGCCAAGAAGAACGGAAACGCTCATTTCCCAAAAAGTAAAGGGAATCTAGCGGTCTCACTCGATCAGAAGGTGGGAAATATATAAATCTAGTGAGCTAATAAGGTTCGGAAGGAATCTAATGCATATGTATATGGAAAGTGGTGCATTGGCCAGGTCGGTCAGTATGGGAACTTAGAGTGCAAATGCCAGGGAGAACGGAAGCGCTCAGATCTCGCATAGTACACGGAATCTAGTGGTCTCACTCAAATAGAAGGTAGGAAATAAATTCATCTAGTGAACGTAATGGTTTGAAAGGTAACTAACGCACATGTGTAGAGAAAATGGTGCATCGGCCAGTCTGGCCGGCATTTCGCACTCATAGTGCAAGTAGGGCCAAGGAGAACGGAAACGCTCATTTCTCAAAAAGTAAAGGGAATCTAGCGGTCTCACTCGATCAGAAGGTGGGAAATATATAGATCTAGTGAGCTAATAAGGTTCGAAAGGAATCTAATGCATATGTATATGGAAAGTGGTGCATTGGCCAGGTCGGTCAGTATGGGAACTTAGAGTGCAAATGCCAGGGAGAACGGAAGCGCTCAGATCTGGCATAGTACACGGAATCTAGTGGTCTCACTCAAATAGAAGGTAGGAAATAAATTCATCTAGTGAACGTAAGGGTTTGAAATGTAACTAACGCACATGTGTAGAGAAAATGGTGCATCGGCCAGTCTGGCCAGCATTTCGCACTTATAGTGCAGGTGGGGCCAGGGAGAACGAAAATGCTCGTTTCTCAAAAAGTAGAGGGAATCTAACGGACTCACTCAATCAGAAGGTGGAAATATATAAATCTAGTCAGCTAAAAAGGTTTGAAATGTATTCAACGCGCAGGTATAGAGAAAATGGTGCATTGGCCAGGTCGGTCAGTATCGGAACTTAAAATGCAAGTGCCAGGGAGAACGGAAGCGCTCAGATCTCGCACAGTACACGGAATCAAGTGGTCTCACTCAAATAGAAAGTAGAAAATATATTCATCTAGTGAACGTAAGGGTTTGAAAGGTAACTAACGCACATGTGTAGAGAAAATTGTGCATCGGCCAGTCTGGCCGGCATTTCGCACTTATAGTGCAACTAGGGCCAAGGAGAACGGAAACGCTCATTTCTCAAAAAGTAGAGGGAATCTAGCGGTCTCACTCGATCAGAAGGTGGGAAATATATAAATCTAGTGAGTTAATAAGGTTCGAAAGGAATCTAATGCATATGTATATGGAAAATGGTGCATTGGCCAGGTCGGTCAGTATGGGAACTTAGAGTGCAAATGACATGGACGTGGTCGTGGACGTAGACGTGGACATGGATATGGACATGGACGTGGACATGGACGTGGACGTGGACATGGACGTTGACGTGGACATCGACGTGGACATGGACGTGGACGTGGACATGGACGTGGACGTGGACGTGGACATGGACGTAGACGTGGACGTGGACGTGGACGTGGACGTGGTCGTGGACGTGGACGTGGACGTGGACGTGGACCTGGACGTGGACGTGGACGTGGACGTGGACGTGGAATTGGACGAGGACGTGGACGTGGACGAAGACATGGTCGTGGGCGTGGACGTGGACGTAGACATGGACGTAGACGTGGACGTGGACGTGGACATGGACGTGGACCTGGTCGTGGACGTGGACGTGGAGGAACATGGACGTGGACGTGGACGTGGACATGGACGTGGACGTGGACGTGAACGTGGACGTGGACGTGGACGTTGACGTGGACGTGGACCTGGTCGTGGACGCGGACATGGATGTGGACGTGGACATGGACGTGGACGTGGACATGGACGTGGACGTGGACGTGGTTGTGGACGCGGACGTGGACGTGGACGTGGACATGGACGTAGACATGGTCGTGGACGTGGACATGGACATGGACGTGGACGTGGACGTGGACGTAGACGTGGACGTGTACGTGGACGTGGACGTGGACGTGGACCTGGACAAGGACGTGGACGTGGACGTGGACGTGGAGGACTTGGACGTGGACGTGGACGTGGACGTGGACGTGGACGTGGACGACTTGGACGTGGACATGGACGTGGACATAGACGTGGACATAGACGTGGACGTGGACGTAGACATGGACGTAGACGTGGACGTGGACGTAGACGTGGACATGGACGTGGACGTGGACGTGGACGTGGACGTAGACATGGACGTGGACGTGGTCGTGGACGTGGACGTGGACGTGGACGTGGACATGAAGGTGGACGTGGACGTGGACATGGACGTGGACGTGGACGTGGACGTGGACATGGACGTGGACGTGGACGTGGACGTGGACATGGTCCTGGACGTGGACATGGACGTGGACGTGGACATGGACGTGGACGTGGACGTGGACGTGGACGTGGACGTGGACATGGACATGGACGTGGACGTGACGTGGACGTGGACATGGTTATGGACGTGGACGTGGACATGGACGTGGACGTGGACGTGGACGAAGACATGGTCGTGGACATGGACGTGGACGTAGACATGGACGTAGACTTGGACGTGGACGTGGACGTGGACGTGGTCGTGGACGTGGACGTGGACGTGGAGGAACATGGACGTGGACGTGGACGTGGACGTGGACATGGACGTGGGCGTAGACATGGACGTGGACGTGGACATGGACGTGGACATGGACGTGGACGTGGACGTGGACGTGGACGAAGACATGGTCTTGGACGTGGACGTGGACGTGGACGTGGACGTGGACATGGACGTGGACGTGGACGTGGACTTGGACGTGGACGTGGACGTGGACGTGAACGTGGACGTGGACGTGGACAGGGACATGGACGTGGACGTGGACGTGGACGTGGACATGGTCGTGGACGTGGACATGGTCGTGGACATGGACGTGGACGTGGACATGGTCGTGGACGTGGACGTGGACGTGGACGTGGACATGGACGTGGACGTGGACGTGGACGTGGACATGGACGTGGACGTGAACGTGGACGTGGACGTGGACATGGACGTGGACGTGGACGTGGACGTGGACGTGGACATGGACGTGGACGTGGACGTGACGTGGACGTGGACATGGACGTGGACGTAAACGTGGACGTGGATATGGACGACGTGGATATGGACGTGGACGTGGACGTGGACGTGGACGTGGACATGGACGTGGATGTGGACATGGACGTGGACATGGACGTGGGAAGGGGATGGGGGGAAGTAGGGAAGGGGATGGGGGGGAGCAGGGAAGGGGATGGGGGGAAGCAGGGCAGGGGATACGGGGTAAGAGGGGATAGGATAGGGGGAAGCACGGCTAGGGATACGGGGAAGCAGGGAAGAGGATGGGGGGAACGTGGGCAGATGCCGGGGAGAGAGCTGGGGGGAGGATGGTGGGGAGCAGAGAGGGAATCAAAACGCTGTTCGATTGTGGTGGCGTAGCGACCACCTCTGTTTCTCCCCATCTGTTCCTCCCCATCTGTCCCACCCCTTCGGAAGGAATGAGGGAGGAAGGATGGGCTGGAGCTAGTAAGATGGGGAGAGGGGAAGAGCGGATGGAAACGCGGAGGTGGACATGGACGTGGACATGGACGTGGACGTGGACGTAGACATGGACGTGGACGTGGACGTGGACGTGGACGTGGACATGGACGTGGATGTAGACGTGGACGTGGACATGAACGTGGACGTGGACGTGGACGTGGACGTGGACGTGGACGTGGACATGGACGTGGACGTGGACGTGGACGTGGACGTGGACATGGACGTGGACGTAGACGTGGACGTGGACGTTGACGTGGACATGGACGTGGACGTGGACGTGGACGTGGACGTGGAGGAGTTGGACGTGGACATGGACGTGGACGTGGACAAGGACGTGGAAGTGGACGTGGACGTGGACGTGGAGAACTTGGACGTGGATATGGACGTGAACGTGGACGTGGACATGGACGTGGAGGACTTGGACGTGGACATGGACGTGGACGTGGACGTGGACATAGACGTGGGCGTGGACATGGAGGTAGACGTGGACGTGGACGTCGACATGGACGTGGACGTGGACGTGGACGTGGACGTGGACATGGTCGTGGACATGGACATGAACATGGACATGGACGTGGACGTGGACGTGGACGTGGACGTGGACGTGGTTGTGGACGTGGACGTGGACGTGGACGTGGACGTGGACGTGGTCGTGGACGTGGACGTGGACGTGGACGTGGACGTGGACGTGGACGTGGACGTGACGTGGACGTGGACGTGGACATGGACGTGGACGTGGACGTGACGTGGATGTGGACGTGGACGTGGACGTGGATGGGACGTGGTCGTGGACATGGACGTGGACGTGGACGTGGACGTGGACGTGGACGTGGACGTGGACTGGGACTGGGACGTGGACGTGGACGTGGACGTGGACGTGGACGTGGACGTGGACGTGGACGTGGACGTAGACGTGGACGTGGACTTGGACGTGGACGTTGACGAGGACGTGGACGTGGACGTGGACGTGGACGTGGACGTGGACGTGGAGGTGGACGTGGACGTGGACGTGGACGTGGACGTGGACGTGGAGGTGGAGGTGGACGTGGACGTGGAGGTGGACGTGGACGTGGACGTGGACGTGGACGTGGAGGTGGACGTGGAGTGGAGGTGGACGTGGACGTGGACGTGGACGTGGACGTGGACGTGGACGTGGACGTGACGTGGACGTGGACGTGGACGTGGACGTGGACCTGGACGTGGACGTGGACGTGGACGTGGTCGTGGACGTGTACGTGGACGTGGACGTGGACGTGGAGGTGGACGTGGAGGTGGACGTGGACGTGGACGTGGACGTGGAGTGTAGGTGGACGTGGACGTGGACGTGGACGTGGACGTGGACGTGGACGTGGAGGTGGACGTGGACGTGGAGTGGACATGGAGGTGGACGTGGACGTGGACGTGGACGTGGACGTGGACGTGGAGGTGGACGTGGACGTGGACGTGGACGTGGACGTGGACGTGGACGTGGACGTGGACGTGGAGAGGACCTGGACGTGGACGTGGACGTGGACATGGACGTGGACGTGGACGTGGACGTGGACGTGGACGTGGACGTAGACGTGGACGTGGACGTGGACGTGGACATGGACGTGGACGTGGACGTGGACGTGGAGGACGTGGATGTGGACGTGGACGTGGACGTGGACGTGGACGTGGAGAACTTGGACGTCGACATGGACGTGAACGTAGACGTGGACGTGGACGTGGACGTGGACGTGGAGAACTTGGACGTAGACATGGACGTGAACGTGGACGTGGACGTGGACGTGGAGGACTTGGACGTGGACATGGACGTGGACGTGGAGTGGACGTGGACGTGGACGTTGACGTGGACGTGGACGTGACGTGGACGTGGACGTGGACGTGGACATGGACGTGGACGTGGACGTGGACGTGGACGTGGACGTGGACGTGGACGTGGAGTGGACGTAGACGTGGACGTGGACGTGGACGTGGAGTGGACGTGGACGTGGACGTGGACATGGACGTGGATGTGGACGTGGAGATGGACGTGGACGTGGACGTGGAGATGGACGTGGACGTGGACGTGGACATGGACGTGGACGTAGACGTGGACGTGGACGTGGACATGGACGTGGACGTGGACGTGGACGTGGAGGACGTGGACGTGGACGTGGACGTGGAGAACTTGGACGTGGACATGGACGTGAACATGGACGTGGACGTGGACGTGGAGGACTTGGACGTGGACATGGATGTGGACGTGGACGTGGACATGGACGTGGACGTGGACATGGACGTGGACGTGGACGTGGACGTGGACATGGAAGTGGACGTGGACGTGGACGTGGACATGGACATGGACATGGACGTGGACGTGGACGTGGACGTGGACATAGACGTGGACGTGGACGTGGACATGGACGTGGACGTGGACATGGTCGTGGACGTGGACGTGGACGTGGACGTGGACATGGACGTGGACGTGAACAAGACGTGGACGTGAACATGGACGTGGACATGGACGTGGACGTGGACATGGACGTGGACATGGACGTGGACATGGACATGGACGTGGACGTGGACGTGGACGTGGACGTGGACATGGACGTGGACATGGACGTGGACATGGACGTGGACATGGACATGGACGTGGACATGGACGTGGACATGGACGTGGACATCGACGTGGACATGGACGTGGACGTGGACGTGGGCGTGGACGTGGACGTGAAGATGGACGTGGACGTGGACGTGGAGGACTTGGACGTGGAGGTTGACGTTGACGTGGACGTGGACGTGGACGTGGACGTGGACATGGACGTGGACGTGGACGTGGACATGGATGTGGACGTGGACGTGGACATGGACGTGGACATGTACGTGGACGTCGACGTGGAAGTGGACGTGGACGTGGAGAACTTGGACGTGGACATGGACGTGGACATGGACGTGGACGTGGACGTGGACGAAGACATGGTCGTGGATGTCGACGTGGACGTGGACGTGGACGTGGACATGGACTTAGACGTGGACGTGGACGTGGACGTGGACGTGGACGTGGTCGTGGACGTGGCTTGGTCGTGGACATGGACGTGGACGTGGACATGGACGTGGACGTGGACGTGGACGTAGACATGGACGTGGACCTGGACGTGGACGAGGACGTGGACGTGGACATGGACGTGGACGTGGACGTAGACAGGGACATGGACTTGGACATGGACGTGGACGTGGACATGGACGTGGACGTGGACATGGACATGGACATGGACGTGGACGTGAACGTGGACGTGGACATAGACGTGGACGTGGACGTGGACATGGACATGGACACGTCCACGTCCATGTCCACATCCACGTCCATGTCCACGTCCACGTCCATGTCCACGTCCATGTCCATGTCCATGTCCACGTCCACGTCCACGTCCACGTCCATGTCATTTGCACTCTAAGTTCCCATACTGACCGACCTGGCCAATGCACCATTTTCCATATACATATGTATTAGATTCCTTTCGAACCTTATTAGCTCACTAGATTTTTATATTTCCCACCTTCTGATCGAGTGAGACCGCTAGATTCCCCCTACTTTTTGAGAAATGAGCGTTTTCGTTCTCCTTGGCCCTAGTTGCACTATAAGTGCGAATTGCCGGCAAGACTGGCCGATGCACCATTTTCTCTACACATGTGCGTTAGTTACCTTTCAAACCCTTACGTTCACTAGATGAATAGATTTACTACTTTCTATTTGAGTGAGACCAGTTGATTCCGTGTACTATGCGAGATCTGAGCGCTTCCGTTCTCCCTGGCATTTCCATTTTAACTTCCAATACTGACCGACCTGGCCAATGCACCATTTTCTCTATACATGTGCATTGAATACATTTCAAACCTTTCTGACTAGATTTATATATTTCCCACCTTCTCATCAAGTGAGACCGTTAGATTCCCTCTACTTTTTGAGAAACGAGCGTTTCCATTCTCCCTGGCCCCACCTGCACTATGAGTGCGAAATGCCGGCCAGACTGGCCAATGCACCATTTTCTCTACACATGTGCGTTAGTTACCTTTCAAACCCTTACGTTCACTAGATGAATATATTTCCTACCTTATATTTGAGTGAGACCACTAGATTCCGTGTATTATGCGAGATCTGAGCGGTTCCGTTCTCCCAGGCATTTGCACTCTAAGTTCCCATACTGACCGACCTGGCCGATGCACCACTTTCCATATACATATGCATTAGATTCCTTCCGAACCTTATTAGCTCACTAGATTTATATATTTCCCACCTTCTGATCGAGTGAGACCGCTAGATTCCCTTTACTTTTTGAGAAATGAGCGTTTCCGTTCTCCTTGGCCCTACTTGCACTATAAGTGCGAAATGCCGGCCAGACTGGCCGATGCACCATTTTCTCTACACATGTGCGTTAGTTACCTTTCACACCATTACGTTCACTAGATGAATTTATTTCCTACCTTCTATTTGAGTGAGACCACTAGATTCCGTGTACTATGCGAGATCTGAACGCTTCCGTTCTCCCTGGCATTTGCACTCTAAGTTCCCATACTGACCGACCTGGCCAATGCACCATTTTCCATATACATATGCATTAGATTCCTTTCGAACCTTATTACCTCACTAGATTTATATATTTCCCACCTTCTGATCCAGTGATACTGCTAGATTCCCTCTACTTTTTGAGAAATGAGCGTTTCCGTTTTCCTTGGCCCTAGTTGCACTATAAGTGCGAAATGCCGGCCAGACTGGCCGATGCACCATTTTCTCTACACATGTGCGTTAGTTACCTTTCAAACCCTTACGTTCACTAGATGAATATATTTCCAACTTTCTATTTGAGTGAGACCACTTGATTCCGTGTACTATGCGAGATGTGAGCGCTTCCGTTCTCCCTGGCATTTGCACTCTAAGTTCCCATACTGACCGACCTGGCCAATGCACCATTTTCCATATACATATGCATTAGATTCCTTTCAAATCTTATTAGCTCACTGGATTTATATATTTCCCACCTTTTGATCGAGTGAGACTGCTAGATTCCCTTTACTTTTTGAGAAATTAGCGTTTCCGTTCTCCTTGGCCCTACTTGCACTATAAGTGCGAAATGCCGGCGAGACTGGCCGATGCTCCATTTTCTCAATATATGTGCGTAAGTTACCTTTCAAACCCTTACGTTCACTAGATGAATTTATTTCCTACCTTCTATTTGAGTGAGACCACTAGATTCCGTGTACTATGCGAGATCTGAGCGCTTCCGTTCTCCCAGGCATTTGCACTCTAAGTTCCCATACTGACCGACCTGGCCAATGCACCATTTTCCATATACATATGCATTAGATTCCTTTCAAACCTTATTAGCTCATAAGAATTATATATTTCCCACCTTCTGATCAAGTGAGACCGCTAGATTCCCTCTACTTTTTGAGAAATGAGCGTTTCCGTTCTCCTTGGCCCTACTTGCACTATAAGTGCGAAATGCTGGCCAGACTGGCCGATGCGCAATTTTCTCTACACATGTGCGTTAGTTACCTTTCAAACCCTTACGTTCACTAGATGCATATATTTCCTACCTTATATTTGAGTGAGACCACTAGATTCCATGTATTATGTGAGATCTGAGCGGTTCCGTTCTCCGAGGCATTTGCACTCTAAGTTCCCATACTGACCGACCTGGCCAATGCACCACTTTCCATATACATATGCATTAGATTCCTTCCGAACATTATTAGCTCACTAGACTTATATATTTCCCACCTTCTGATCTAGTGAGACCGCTAGATTCCCTTTACTTTTTGAGAAATGAGCGTTTCCGTTCTCCTTGGCCCTAGTTGCACTAAAAGTGCGAAATGCCGGCCAGACTGGCCGATGCACCATTTTCTCTACATATGTGCGTTAGTTACCTTTCAAACCCTTACGTTCACTAGATGAATTTATTTCCTACATTCTATTTGAGTGAGACCACTAGATTCCGTGTACTATGCGAGATCTGAGCGCTTCCGTTCTCCCTGGCATTTGCACTCTAAGTTCCCATACTGACCGACCTGGCCAATGCACCATTTTCCATATATATATGCATTAGATTCCTTTCGAACCTTATTAGCTCACTAGATTTATATATTTCCCACCTTGTGATCGAGTGAGACCGCTAGATTCCCTCTTCTTTTCGAGAAATGAGCGTTTCCGTTCTCCTTGGCCCTACTTGCACTACAAGTGCGAAATGCCGGCTAGACTGGCCGATGCACCATTTTGTCTACACATGTGCGTTAGTTACCTTTCAAACCCTTATGTTCACTAGATGAATTTATTTCCTACCTTCTATTTGAGTGAGACCACTAGATTTCGTGTACTATGCGAGATCTGAGCGCTTCCGTTCTCCCTGGCATTTGCACTCTAAGTTCCCATACTGACCGACCTGGCCTATGCACCATTTTCCATATACATATGCATAAGATTCCTTTCGAACCTTATTAGCTCACTAGATAAATATATTTCCCACCTTGTGATCGAGTGAGACCGCTAGATTCCCTCTACTTTTTGAGAAATGAGCGTTTCCGTTCTCCTTGGCCCTACTTGCACTACAAGTGCGAAATGCCGGCCAGACTGGCCGATGCACAATTTTCTCTACACATGTGCGTTAGTTACCTTTCAAACCCTTACGTTCACTAGATGAATATATTTCCTACTTTCTATTTGAGTGAGACCCCTTGATTCCGTGTACTATGCGAGATCTGAGCGCTTCCGTTCTCCCTGGCATCTGCATTTTAAGTTCCGATACTGACCGACCTGGCCAATGCACCATTTTCTCTATACATGTGCGTTGAATAGATTTCAAACCTTTTTAGCTGACTAGATTTATATATTTCCCACCTTCTGATAGAGTTAGACCGTTAGATTCCCTCCACTTTTTGAGAAACAAGCGTTTCCGTTCTCCCTGGCCCCACCTGCACTATGAGTGCGAAATGCCGGCCAGACTGGCCGATGCACCATTTTCTCTTCACATGTGCGTTAGTTACCTTTCAAACCCTTACGTTCACTAGATGAATATATTTCCTATCTTATATTTGAGTGAGACCACTAGATTCCGTGTATTATGCGAGATCTGAGCGGTTCCGTTCTCCCAGGCATTTGCACTCTAAGTTCCCATACTGACCGACCTGGCCAATGCACCACTTTCGATATACATATGCATTAGATTCCTTCGGAACCTTATAAGCTCACTAGATTTATATATTTCCCACCTTCTGATCGAGTGAGACCGCTAGATTCCCTTTACTTTTTGAGAAATGAGCGTTTCCGTTCTCCTTGGCCCTACTTGCACTATAAGTGCGAAATGCCGGCCAGACTGGCCGATGCACCATTTTCTCTACACATGTGCGTTAGTTACTTTTCAAACCCTTACGTTCACTAGATGAATTTATTTCCTACCTTCTAGTTGAGTGAGACCACTAGATTTCGTGTACTATGCGAGATCTGAGCGCTTCCGTTCTCCCTGGCATTTGCACTCTAAGTTCCCATACTGACCGACCTGGCCTATGCACCATTTTCCATATACATATGCATTAGATTCCTTTCGAACCTTATTAGCTCACTAGATAAATATATTTCCCACCTTCTGATCGAGTGAGACCGCTAGATTCCCTCTATTTTTTGAGAAATGAGCGTTTCCGTTCTCCTTGGCCCTACTTGCACTACAAGTGCGAAATGCCGGCCAGACTGGCCGATGCACAATTTTCTCTACACATGTGCGTTAGTTACCTTTCAAACCCTTACGTTCACTAGATGAATATATTTCCTACTTTCTATTTGAGTGAGACCCCTTGATTCCGTGTACTATGCGAGATCTGAGCGCTTCCGTTCTCCCTGGCATCTGCATTTTAAGTTCCGATACTGACCGACCTGGCCAATGCACCATTTTCTCTATACATGTGCGTTGAATAGATTTCAAACCTTTTTAGCTGACTAGATTTATATATTTCCCACCTTCTGATAGAGTTAGACCGTTAGATTCCCTCCACTTTTTGAGAAACAAGCGTTTCCGTTCTCCCTGGCCCCACCTGCACTATGAGTGCGAAATGCCGGCCAGACTGGCCGATGCACCATTTTCTCTTCACATGTGCGTTAGTTACCTTTCAAACCCTTACGTTCACTAGATGAATATATTTCCTATCTTATATTTGAGTGAGACCACTAGATTCCGTGTATTATGCGAGATCTGAGCGGTTCCGTTCTCCCAGGCATTTGCACTCTAAGTTCCCATACTGACCGACCTGGCCAATGCACCAGTTTCGATATACATATGCATTAGATTCCTTCGGAACCTTATAAGCTCACTAGATTTATATATTTCCCACCTTCTGATCGAGTGAGACCGCTAGATTCCCTTTACTTTTTGAGAAATGAGCGTTTCCGTTCTCCTTGACCCTACTTGCACTATAAGTGCGAA